ATGACAGACAGAGACAAGACAAGCGTTCCGGAAGCACACACACACTGTCTCTCATGCAGCCTTCTTTCTTGCGCCACCCCCCCTACGATTCGGTGTCGGTGGCTTTCTCTTCTTTGCGCCTGCTCCCCGGCCTTCCCTCTCAGCCTGTCTGGCATCCATCCGTCGCTGCCTGTCCTCAGCTCGAGCCCTCTCGTCCAATATCCCCTGATATTTCTCCACCCAGCGAGGCTTCAGCAACCTATCCACCAGCCTCATATCCCTCACCTGGATGGTCACCCTCTTCGAGTGGATCACCACTTCGTTTGTGTTCTCGAAGTTGGCGACCAGGTAAGCCTCCGCAGCCTCCATCAAAGCACGCACAACCATCATCTCGAACCTCAGACCCTTATTAGGGGTAATGTCCTTCTCCACCACCTCGCGGACGATGCGCAAGAAGGGCCTGAAAGGGATACAAAGGTTGGTGGATCGTTGCAGCTTCCTGATCTCTGTCAAAGCTGCCATTCTGGGGTGTCTGCGGCGTCTGTGGACCCGTGCAGGCGCATCTGCATTGTTACTGGTCTGTGGCACAGGCTGGGGGTTCTTCTTTTGCTTGTCACCAACCGTCTTCCCCCTCCGCGCCCTCGAGACAACCGGCTTCACCTTCCTCGGGCTGTGGGACATCGCTGTCTTGTTGGGCCCGGCCACGTCACCCTGCGCTGCAGAGCACCCTGCAACTCGCTCACCGCCACATGGGCCCTCCACCTCAGCAGACAAACTGTCCTGATGTCCCGGGCGCGTCTCCTCCGTCTGTCCCGGCCTCCGATGTCCACCTTGGGTGTCCTCGGCCACCATATACCGAATGTCTCGCAGGAGGCCATCCGAGTACGTCAGCAGAAACGGCACACAAAGCGGGTCCCTGAACTTCATCATCATCTCTCCACCTTGCTCGTATGTCATGCGACATACGGCCGGGACCCAACCAACAAGGGCGGAGTAACCATGCCTGCGGCGGATGTGAGCCATGCACCTGTTCTCGCCATCGCCCTGCCCTTGCCCACCAGGACTCCCCTCAACCATGGACCACATCCCCTGGTCTGGCATGGAGTCGTAACCCATGCACACCATCTGACGGTCCTCCTCCCTTATCTTTTCCCAGCACCGCTTTGCATGCTCCACAACCAGCACGTGGTCCTTCACATCTGCATTGAAAATGGAGACACGTGCCACTACCACCAGGAACTGCCACTGCTCCACCATGCCTGCATGCATCCACCCCAAGGGCAGCCAATGGCCTGTCTGCAGTTTCGCTGCCATGGTCACCTTGCCATCAACTGTTGCCGGCTGCAGATATCCTGGGACCCAATCCACACGATATCCATACTTCTGAGGGGCCACATGCTGCTGCAACTGCCCCTCAGGGATGACATGGGCCGCAATGTCTATGGCAGCCAGAACGTCAGGGTTCAGGTTGAATGGGTCCCATACCAGCGTGGTTATTCCATCAGCAGTAGCGTCCTCCCCTCTGGCATGCGTGTATATGTACCCATGGTCACCCGCGAACACTTTCCCCTCTGCCACTTTGAGCTCCACAGGGTTCCAAAGAGGCGGCGAAAAACAATGAGCAGCAGGGGTGGAACAAGCCATCGCCATCTTCTCCTCTTCAGTCACCTCCCTGTTCAGGTGCCTAGATGAGAAGCTGCCGTTTATATAACACGTGGTCCATACATTCCCCATGGCATCACGCATCGACACCTTCACACGGCCACAAAGAAGCAGGGCGTCATGTGGCACCCAACCCCACCATGGATCCCTCCTGGCATCAGTCTGTGGGCAAACCGAACTCGCTGCAGTGTCCAACCTGCCAATCACCCATGACTCTCCGCAGTCGACACTGTCGTACTCAAAATCATTGAGCCTCAACTCGCCCTTCGTGTCCAAAACATGCCATAGTTTCAACACATGCCACGATTTGTCGTCAGCGCTCACCTCATCGTTCAACCTCAGCACTCTGTCGAAGATGATTGACAGAGTCACGCCCCTCCACGACGTCGCTTTGGGGGCGGGATATGGAACCCATTCCCCATTGACTTTGAACGYSAAGCACGACGCTCCTCCAACGATACCCGGTTGAAGACGACCAGGCACCCAATTGATGTCATAGGGGAAGAGAGTTCCTGCTGACGTCCTGACCACATTCT